GTGTCTGAGAGTCTTCTGGAGGGCCGTCCTGGGCAATCTTAGCCCTCTGTCCTTCCCTGCATTCATGGAGGAATGGAACTACGCCCCAGAGAGTATAGCTTAGAGAGAGGAGTGGTCCTGAAGACACCTGCTTTTCTTCTACCTTTCCACTGGGCCTCAAGGCCTAACAAGATCCTGAGGGCGAGGACGGGATGATTTTTAACCTGTGCGCTTGTGTGTGTGCATGAGTGTCTTTTCCAGGGCTGCCCAGAATTATACTAGGCCATGACTGGCTGCTTGTTTTTGTGAGAGTTTATTGGGATGGAGATGGAGATCTGTATTCTTGCCTTGGCTGGGTGATGTGTCTGGCTGTGGACACCCGGCCCTCTGTGCCTTGTTTATAGTCTGGGAAATAAAGATGGTCATAGGACCCAGATGAATGCTGTATCAAGCCAAGGTTTGGGGCTGGGGAATGACAGGTGGCTGGAATGGTGCAGGGGGCACTGGGAGGGTTTGAAGGCTGCTGTGCTCAAGGCTTCACAGTGTGACAATTTCCTTGCGTGCTCACAGGGTCTGGTCAGCTTGCCTCCTCCACGCTGTGACAATGCCACCACCTTATACAGACAGCCTTCCTCCAGAGCCTCATTCCAGGCAGATGTTTTTATCTGGCAGCCATAAAGTGGGATCAGGGAAGAATTTACAACCTCGACTATAAAGTAATATCAGCAAAGGCTATATCATTGGGTTCAGGCAGAGGTGAGGCAGAAGTTCAAAAGTTCAAGACCTCCCGGCATTTCCTGAGTGGCTGACAACCTTCTCAGTGATGAGATATGCAGGTACTGAGCCCTGTAGGCTCTCTAAGGTTGCAAGTGGCAGCTGTGGATACATTCAGTTGGACCTGATGAACCTCTGTGGGTTCAAGTGGTACCCCTAAATAGGGCGCTGGGTTGGAAAGCACCCGATAAAAGGACTTATCTCAATGCTACGAGGATAGGAGGGTGTCTGGCCCTGTCTGTTTGGGTATATGAAGAGAAAAGTAGGGTGTGATTACAGAATCATCTGAGGGGTGATGTAGATGGCTCCATGGGTTAAAGTACTTGACATACAAACTTGACAACCTGAGTTTGATCACTGGATACCAGTGTGAATGGGGAGAATTAGCTCCTGAAGGCTGTCCTCCGACCTCCATGTGCACACCACAGGCTCACATGCATGTACCTGCTCTCACACACACTTCATACATGCCCAATGGTAATAAATAAAATAAAAAAAATCACCTGAGTTTTCTGTCCTGTGGGGCCAATAGACCTAGGTTTTGGTCCTCATCCTCACTGACTGTCTGACCTTGGGCAAGGCCCTCTGCCTCTCTAAGTTCTTATCCCCACTCATGGAGAAGATAGTACTTCTCAAACTGAACTCTGTCTGGCACAGAAAAATAAGCAGCTTAGTGATCTCTCTTTGTCATCCTCATCCTGCTAGGGCTTCCAGCTCTGCGGTTCCCACGAGTGGATCTGAATGAGCCTTGGGAATGAGTCTCGAACATGATGGAAGGTGAGGACTTCCACAGATGTGTTGTGGGCATGCTCACACCCACAGTTACATGGATGAACAATCACACATGAAACAAGCCTTGAAGATGGGATTCATTTTTAAAATTGAAAAAGGTACTAAATAATGCCCTTGTTTTGGGTTAAAGATGACTTTCCCCCACAATGATTATAATTCAGCTCTAAGAAACATCAGTATAAGAAAATGATTTGAAGATTAGCAGCTTGTCCCTCCCTCTCCTCTCTCTCGTGTCACAGAGAGTGTAGTATTGTAGGATGGAAAGAAAGTCATTCAGAGTGTAAAGTTCTGCTGTGAGTGCCTCAACTGGGATATCCAATCTTTTGACATTTTTTAAAAATTAATTTTTAAAAAACTATCTTTTCTCATTTTATATGCCAAATCCATTTCCTACTCCCTCCCCTCCTCCTGCTTCCTCCTCCTTTCCCCTACTCCCACCCTCCATCCCCCCCGCCCCATCCACTCCTCAGAGAGGGTAAGTCTTCCCATGGGGAGTCAACAAAGTGTAGCACATTGCTTTGAGGCAGGACCAATACTCTTCCCCCTATCTAGGCTGAGCAAGGTATCCCTTCTGAGAGTATGGTTTCAGAAAGCCAGAACAAGCAGTAGGATAAATCCTGGTCTCACAGTCTGGCCCAGTCACACAATTGTCACTCACATTCAGAGTGTGTGAATGTGTTGGCGTGGGTTCACAGCTACTGTAGAAGATATGAGTACCTGTGTGCTACGTGTGTGTTTCAACATAACAACAACAGAACCCCAAAGCAGCTCCTCAATTAGCCCACTCATCAGTTCCACAAGCATATCAGCAATAAGAGGCACATATTTTGGATGGAGAGCTCTGAAGTTCGTGGGACAATGAACAGAGATCACAACAGACACCTCCCTAGAACACATTCATGTAAGCACAGTAGCTATGACAACAACTCACACTTACCAGATGTCAGCAATGCCAGGTGGCTCTGTCCCTAGCTTCCTGCCAGTACTCTGAGAACACTCCTCCTTCCTGCAGCAGGAAGGGGGTTCCATTGCTTTTTATGAAGTGCTCACTAATCCCTACAGCATCTTTGAAAGTAGTGCTGACTTGGAGTTGTTAGGTGCAGAAACTGAGGCTGAGCTAAGCTATGCATGACATTTTCAAGGACAGTGGCTACCTATTCACCATCATGGAGCTGTTAAAGTCATAACAAGTGGGTGTTCTTTGAGTCTGTTGCATATCCCCATGTCAGAGCCTTTGTACTGCTGAGGTGTCATACCAAGACACCTCATTCTCCTCAGGGATGGCTTCTATCTGTCACTCAATCCTTGGCTCTGCAGGGACTCTTCTGGTACTGCTGGTCTCCTTGGACCATCTCCTATCACTAGCTGTTGTGTTTGGGTGTGAAGTATCTCCCACAGGCTCACATATTTGGGCACTTGGCCTCTAACTGGTGATGCTATTTGGGAAGCTCGTGGAACCTTTAGGAGGTGGAGCCCCAGGAGAGGAAGTGAGTCACCGGGTTTTAGAGTCCAGCCCTGTTCTTGTTTACTCTATTCTTCCTGACTGTGGACACCACATGACTTGATGTCTTCTGCTCCTGCAACACCTACCTTGGTATGATGGACTATCCTCTCAGTCTGTGAGCCAAGACAAACCCTTCCTCCCTTAAGTTACTGCTTGTGTTTTTCATAACAATGAGAAGAGTAACTAACACAATAACTCATCCCCCATGTCAAACTGTCATAGTTCTCTGGAGGGAGGAGTCTCTTCTGGTCTTCCAGTCTTTTCTACCCTTAAGGATATTGGCAGCACAGTGGCATACTGACTCACCTTTCACTTTATCTGGCTTAGATGATGCTTAAAATGTACATCTGTGCCAGTGTTTGTAACTGACCATTCAGAGAGCCTCCCCCTCCTCCTGTTGGGGAGGTCTCTGCTTCCTGGGGTGTCTACTGAACTTCTTTATATGATCAATTTTCCCCTTTGATACCTTCAGAAAAGTCTTTTCCTGTCACCTTTGGAAGGATGGTCCTTCAGTTGGTGACTTGTTATAGATGTTTTTCGTTCTTTATTTCCTATTTCTCCAGGTCTTCACAAGTGGAGTCTTCCCACCTGTCCTTCAAAGGTGACTGTAGCTAGATGACCGATCTCTGCTAGGAAAATCTCTATCCTAAGATCATAGAGGGCTTTGGAACAGGATCCCATTCAGGCCAGTCTTAGCCCAAGAGGACAGTGTGATGACCAGATCCACACTTCCCCAGTTTTGTTGTGTGTTCATGTACTCCTGGTGGGAGGATAGGTTCCGTGGTCACAGTCAGAGGTACCTGGCTGTCACTGAGTTAAGATCTCCCGAGGAGCCTGCTTTTTGTCCTGCTGACTTTCATAGGACCTGGTCTCTGTGGTTTCTTTCTCTAGGAGGGAGGCCCAGGTCACAATCTCCCCATCTATGTTCATTTGTGTACCCTTCATGAAATACCTACAGATACTGTAAGCAGCCTGCATCTGATGGATTGAGCCAGATACTTAAGGAGGATAGAACTTGAAAATATGGCATTAAGTAGGATGACTAAGGTCCAGAAAGGCAAATATCACATGAAGATCCTAGTTTCTAAGATTCGTATATGTACATTCATGTGGGAGTGTGTGTAAGGATGGGAACTAGACAGAGCTGTGAGGCTGGGAGTGGGGCTCCACAGGTAATCGATCTCATGTGGTTTGAATGTGGAGGGGAAATACTGGGGTCAGAAAGGTACAAATTCTGGTGGAGATATGGAGTCTGGGAGACTTGAGAGTGGAGAAATCAATCAAAATTAAGCATGAAAATGTCACAAGAGATCAAGTTACTATGCATGCTAATTAAACATAAAGAAAACTGAAGGAAAGAAATATCCTTCCCAGGCTCTGGCCACCATCTTTTCCCTCCTGTCTGCTTCTACCTGAGGCCATTATGTTCCACTTCAAAGAACATTGTGTTGTTCTTGGGGATAAGGATCCCTGTGCAATTGTTTGGAGCTATAAATGATTTAAATTGGTTAGGATACTAATTGCCACGAGATGACTTTACTACCTTCTGTTGATAAGAGGGCTGTAACCTTCCTCCCCACCCAGGGGTCACCCAGCGGTCAGGGCCCTCCTAGTGAGTCCTTACAACAGCCTCATCTGGCAGAGGTAACTACAGTGGCACCTGTGTGGTGTTCCAACTTCCCTCTACCCTTCCATCAGCTTTTGGGGGACATGACAAGCCTCTGCCAGTCTGTTTTCAAGTTCTGATCACTCCCATAAAGAGTACCGGTCGCTGGCTCAATTTCTTTCTTCTAGCTGTGTAGAAAATCGTAACAGTGGGAGTCAGAGAGACAATTGAATGTGGGAGAGAAAGATGTCTAATCACAGAGCAGAATTTAGCCCTTCACCTAACATGGTACTAGAAAGGAGAATGGATAGAGTAAATATGGGGAGGCTACACATATGCAGGAAATACAGAGCCCACCATTATGTATTTATATGATTACAGATGTTGGACATAATTTTCATGTTTACATTAATTATAAACCATATATATATACATTAACTATATCATTATAACTTTGTGTATGTAGTGGTTCCAAGTTTTGGCATCAGACAGAAATGAATTCTAAATACAGACATTTGCTGTGTGATGTGCAAGCCCATTCCCTGTGGGACACTATGAACCCGTGTCACTGGACTGGTGTGAGAATCAGTGCTTGGCACAGGGAGGATTTCAGAATTGGGTTCATATCATCACAAAGAAGGTTCACAGTTCTATGGGAGTGAGAAGGAAGAGACATCATAAAAGATAAGGCAGAACTTATCTATAATTTTTATCTATAAAGATAACTTTTTCCAAGCTACAAAATCACATGTATGCAGTAGCTATTAGACATTCTTTGATTGGATTATGTAAAAGATTGCCCGATTTCAGAGGGGCAAAGGAGGGCTGTGGGGATGTCCTTTGATGGAGATGTGACACACAAGTGGAAAGGTATCCCCGCACAGAAGGGTGGGCATTCCTGGCTGGAGGATGAGCGGGGCAAAGGGCAGAGATAGAGAATGCTCACAGTGCAGTCCAGGGGCCTCCGTGATGACACATTCCTAGTGAGGGCTCTGAAGGGCACCTCCGGGAGAGGGGGGCTGAATGGGCTTTGGGAAGCTTCCCTGTTAGTTCTTGGGTTTCATTTAAGCCTGTTTTTCTTTCCATTGTGGTGATGGCATTGTCCCGGAGGCCACAGACAACTGACATGTGAAGTTGTCCTCTGGCTTCCACATGTACATGCACACTTCTGTTCATATACATAAACATGCACAAACATACATATGATGCATATACAATGACAAAAATTTTTTTAAAAAAGAGAAATTCATGACCCTTGCATTCTCTCACTTGTCTTTAAAGTCAGCGCCAGTCAGAATGCAATTTGCCTTATCTGTCAGGATTCCTGAGCCTCAGAGAAGCTAGGAAAAGGAGGGTCACCTTTTCCAGAGAAGAGGAAACACATGATTTTGATGTCTTTTGAGAGTTCCTTGGCAACCCAGAAATGGAATCCAGAGCTATTGGGAGAGTGCCTGGGGTCAGAAAATGTTGCTACAGGCAGAAGAGGGGTTGAAAGACTGCTTGGGAAAATGACCCTCCTCACACATATTGAGTTACTGCCATGTGCCAGAGGCTCTGATGTAATTGTCAATGTCTCCCACAGAGGCAAGAAACTTGTTATTCCAGGAAGAAGTAGGTGGAAGGACATGTCCTTTGCTGCCTGAGGTTACACAGTTCATAAGGGTTTGGAAGGCCCAGGGTATAGGTAAGCAATTCGAAAGTTCTTGTGGGAGAAGAGTCCCCAGGGAGGAAGGTGTACCTCTGACTCAGCCTTCCCTACAGTGCTGAAGCTGAGCTTCTCGTAGTGGAGCAGCTCCTGTCTCCAAGGCTGGAAAGATGGCTCAGAAGGTAAGGACCCTTCCTACGAAGGCTTATGACCTGAATTCAATCCCTGAGTGACTTGGCACACTACAAGTCACTGAAAAGTATCTGAGTCACTGAAAAGCAATCTAGAAGCTACTAGAATAAATCCTTGCTTCTAATGCAGACAGTAAGTACAATGTTAGAGAAATGGCGGGAGTCACATTTGTATAATGAACTTCTGGCCACAAAATGGGCCCCTGCGCCATGGTTTGAGCCTAAATGTCTCCAAAGGCTGATGTGTTAAAGGCTTGGTTTCTAGCCCGAGTGCTCATGGGAGGTTGGGGAAGCTGGGTTGCTGAAGGTGTGCCTTTTAAAGGAGATGTTGGGACGCCGGGCCCCTTCCTGCCTTCTTTGCTTCCTGGTGGCTATGTAGTGAATAGGCCTCTGCCACACCCTCCTCTGAGTGGTACTGTGCCACCATAGGCCCAAGGCCACATGGTCAGAGAACTCTGATCTTCAACCTCTGAAACCTTTTCTCCTTGTAAACAGTTTATCTCAGGCATTTTGTCACAGGCACACAGCACAGAAGGCTGCCCAGTTGTGAGCCTTTGAGTTAACTTTCTTTTGTGTTTCTTCATCTGCCCCCAACCTTCTCCTGACATGCAGCTATCTGTATGTCAGGTTCTGTCTGAAGGGCTCAGTGGAGGAACTGTGCAGAGCTGGTGCTGCTGTCTCTAACGTACAGATGAGGAAACTGAGGCCGAGACTAATCAGAGGACATACAGAGCTAAGACCTAGTCTTCCCAACTCTTGGCCTAACTCCGTGGTAGGTCAGGACTCATGCAGATTTCAGGTGTTTTTTGATTCAGAATAAATTTTCTTGAACTTACTTTGGAACTACACTAGCTGAGGGGAGCAGCAACCACAAGCCTCTGAGATGTCTGGGCAGAAAGTAAGCCAGCAGGAGGTCTCCCTGGGACTAGAAACCTCTTGGGATGGGGACCCAAGCCATCGCCTGCCCAGGCATGAGATGCTGACATCATTCCAGTGTCTGCCCAACTTTCAGGCTTTTAAGGAGCACTCCCCTCCTCCCAATGTCTCCTGGATGCTGTGTATCACAGGCCAGGTGGGAGCCACTGCCTTTCTCCTAGAGATATGAAAAACTAGACATAGGCAGGACATGTGGTCTGTCTAGGGCAACTTTTCCAGCACTGTGATCCTTTAATACAATTCCTCATGTTGTGGGGGTCTCCAACTATAAATCTATTTTCTGTGCTACTTAATAACTGTAATTTTGCTACTGTAACTATTTTTGGAGATAGAGGTTTGCCAAAGGGGTCGCTACCCACAGGTTGAGAACCATGATCTAGCATCCCTGCAAAGAAACCAAGAGCTGCGCCCAGGGTTTTTCAGCACAGAGCCAAGCAGGGTAGCTGGGCCCTGTGTGCACAGAGAGCTTTGCTGTCTTCTTCGTCAGTAATTCCAGTGAGGACGGGTCATGCTTCCCAGACCAGCAAATGATAGACACGAAATTCTGTTTTAAATTAAAAATATTGTTTTCTATTTTTCTCTCATTCTGAGATTTTTCATACCAAAGTCAATAGTAATGTGCTGGACAGGAGCCAAGTGCAAGGTCACCGCCATCTGATGCAGGCAGAGGTCAGTGTCACCTTTCAACTGACCTAGGCAGAGTCCAATCTGTTCAGCTCCACATTCCCAAGTGTACAATGCTTAGTGATCAGTACAGATGTCATGGATGGGTGCATGGATGTGAATCCACTCCTGGGCCTCCCCACATCTTGTGCTTCCCAGGGCTCATCTTCCCAAAGTAAGGAAGCAAAGGGTTCTCAGAAAAAATCTGTTACAGATGAGATACAGGGGGTGTGACTGACCAGCTGGAGGTGGCACAGCCATTAGAGGAAGCACCGGGGTAAATTGGAGTGGCTTATTCTGGAGTTCATCCCCAGTCCTCGGGCAGCCAGGCTTCTGCACTAGGAGAATGACTTGGACTGGTGTGTTGTCTTTTGCTGCCATGCCAATGTAGTCTTCAATAGCAAGCTCTCGGCTGTTTCCTGGGCTGTGGGCCATTGACGGATTGTGGAGGGATTTTCCCTGAGGTCCAGGGTTGTCTGCTGTCACTGAGAGAGAAGAGCAGCCTGCTTGGGAAAAGAGCAACCAGTTCCTATGTTGAGGTGGCACAGATGCTGCCCCACTTGGGGTATGGAGGTGGCAGGGTAAGGGTAGGAACACAAGGCTGTTGGGTAAGATAGCCAGGCAAGGGCTGCAGATCCCATGGGTGCCATGGGACAAGGGTGATCTGGGCAGGGAACCAGGCTGAAGTGAGCTGAGTCTGAGAGCATAGGTAGCATCCTGTGGGAGGCACCAACATGGGCAGAGCTGTGGGTGTCAGCACAGGACCCTGTCAGGAAAGATCAGAGGGAACCGATGAGTCCTAATCTTGACCAAGAACTGTTCTTGCTGCTTCCTAGGTGCCTCCATGATTCAAGGAGCTGGTGGTGGGTAGTGTGGCAGCTGGTCCTGCCCTCCTGGGACTTTCAGCATACCTGCCTGGACCTAACCTCACAGCATGGATAGCAGTCGTGTGTCTAGGATGTCACCTCACTCCTCAGAGAATCACTCCTTCAGTAGCAGACCATGAATAGAAGATTCCAGGTCTTAGTCACTTCATTCTGGTTAAAACTTTAGTACTGACCTCTAAGGAGCAAGGTGACTTTTCTATGGCACACTGTGATGTGGGATTTGAACTGAGATTTGACACTGGGCAGTCTATTTTAGAGCTGACTGCCCAACCCCTATGTTCTATGCTTTACCCTGTGACTCTGTTTTGTGAACTGTGAAGTTTTGTACAAGTGACAAGACCACTCTGTCACTCAAAGCGAGAGCCAGCTAGCGAGACACTTGTTCCAGATCCCTCTTTTAGGCATCTCCTTGGCCTTCCTATTTCTGGAAGGATTCCCACTGTGCCCACTACTGTAAGCACCTTCCCCAGGGCTCCCTCACAGCAGGGCCGGGTTGAGATGGACCCAGCCGACTGTCCCTCTAGCACCACTTGAGGACTGAGCCACTCACAACCACGTCCATGTTTGAGGGTAGGGTCAAGCTGGCCTCACCAGGCTGCTGCGATGCGCTGACGCTTCCAATCTTTTCCTGTTTTCTCCGCTTGGCTCTCTGATTCTGGAACCAGATCTGCGGTCAGGGAAAGAAAATGGATGTGTGTAAAGTAAATTCATTCCAACTACTAGCCCCACCCCCATCTGGTATCTTCCCCCAAATGCAGAATATTAGCATCCCCCAAAGAATGAGCACTTCACAGTTTATAAAATCACACCTTGGGAGGGGGAGTTCTTTGCATGTCAAGTCTGGAGACTTCAGGGAAGAGACCAGGGGTGGGGGACATGCGTGAGTGATAACTGAGAAGGTTGGGTGGGGTCTGGGTGAGCAGAGCTTGAAGATCTTAGGTCCTGCAGACAGCTGCCACCTGGGAACAGGAGCTGGCGTGTCAGTCAGCAGTCTCCAGCCTCCAGCGTGAAGGATCTTGATTATCCTTTCTTTCTTCTTTCTTTCTTTCTTTCTTTCTTTCTTTCTTTCTTTCTTTCTTTCTTTCTTTCTTTCTTCCTTCCTTCCTTCCTTCCTTCCTTCCTTCCTTCCTTCCTTCCTTTCCTTCCTTCCTACCTTCCTTCCTTTTTCTCTCTTTTCCCTCCCTCCCTCCCTTCCTCCTTTCATTCCTTCCTTTTCTTTTTTTTATGTGAATGCTTTTGAGTTTTTAAATGCCATGCAGGCCAAATAAAAGCCATCTGTGGGCTGTCTTCCATCAGTAGGCCACCAGTTTGCAACCCCTGTGAACCACTTGGCATCTATAGGTTGAACATTGGCAGATCTCTGCATTCCTGGGAGCCCTGATGGTCTCTGACATGCAGCCATTTGTACTTGGTGATTCTGGGGAAGCAGGTGTTAGTTTCTAGACTTGATGGCAGATGCAGGTGTTAAACACAGTTCCAAGTAGGAGGAACTTAGCCAGACTAAGACTTAGCTGGGCTCTAGCCAGAGGAAGGGCGTTGAATGGAGCATGGTACATTGGGCTGGACCTTTATTTTGATTCTGAGTGAGAGCAAATAAACTGCAGGTTTTTATTTTTTTAAAGAATGATGTCGAAGTCTCTGTGTTCAGAGTCTTGGCAGTGTTGCTGTGGGACAGAGCCGAGCCTCGTGCCAGCCTGAGACTTTTCCAACAGAATGTAGCTAAAAGAGGGCACCAGGTCGACCTTGGTGGTCACAAGATGGCAGATGTTAGATTAGGCTGTTAGTATAGAAACCCTGTCTCTGACCATGAATACTTGGTCTGTCTGCTGCACTGCTTCCACCAAGGAGATGGAGGTGTTCTTTACCAGGCTGGCCAACAGTAACCCTGGTCAGCCACACCTACAATTCCAAATGTCTGAGTGGCCCTCCAGCTGAGAGTGATTGGCACAGTTTTAAACCATTGAGAAAAGAAACAAAAAGAAGAATAGTATTTTCTGACACTGGCAGCTTGTATAGAAATCAAACTTCCACACTTGTAAATAAAATTTTGTTGGAATGTCACCATGCTCACCTGTTTCTTCCTTGGCTGTGGCTGCTTTCAGGCCACCATGGCAGAGACAATGGCCCTCTGACAGTGACTGTGTGTCTAGCAAAACCCAAAGTGATTGCTCTTAGTAAAAATGTTGGTTAACCCCAGTCCTCGGATGCTGTGATTGAAAGCATGAATGAGCAGCTGAGAGGGGGCATGGGACAGAGATGGGTGGAGAGCACCAATGTTTACTCACTACATTGCCATCACAAAGGAGAGATTCTTTATTAGACGATGGTAGTCTCATTGCCTGGAACCCAGGAGATAAACAGCTGGGGCAGCCCTGCAGGGCTGAGGGCCCAGCAGGAAACTGGGTGGAAGTGGTCACAGTACCTGTACTCGAGCTTCAGGCAGATTGATCCTGGAGGCCAGCTGGGTCCGGACATGGATGTCGGGGTAGTGGGTAAAGTGGAAGAGCTTCTCCAGTTCCTGTAGCTGCTCCGTGGTGAAGGTAGTGCGAACTCTCCGCTTGTTCTTTTTTTCCTCTGTGGGAGAAGGCATGCAAGTTGGGTCAGAGACCTGGCTGTCAGTCCCTTGGGGAGACGTTCATGTTCTTCCTTCTCCAAGCCCATGGCCACTGCTGAGCCTTGGTCCCTGGCTCCTTGGTGTTAGGGGCTGAAGACCCCTGGCCCCTTGACTTTCTTTGTCTGCCTCAGACCCTTTGCCTGCTGGAGTGAAACAAAGTGTTTCCCTGTGTTTTAGCTGCTCTGAGCATGAGACGGGGGAGTGGGTTCTGGTGGCCGCAGCTGAAAGATCCCGAGAGCTGGGTTGTGGCCAGAGCACAATATAAGCTGCCCATGAACACAATAAAGTTGGTGTTCTTGTTTCAAGGATGAGTCCTCCCTCGTGTGTGTGTATATGTTTAAATCTCCAGGCCCTTTCCCTAGCTCGTGAACGAATGGCCCTGTGGTACAAGTGCTGCACTACGGGCATAGTACTGTAGCACACGTAGTACTGTAGCACATGTAGTACTGTAGCACACATAGTACTGCAGCACACACACTACTGTAACACACACAGTACTGCAGCACACACAGTACTGTAGCACACGTAGTACTGCAGCACACACAGTACTGCAGCACACACAGTACTGTAGCACACACAGTACTGTAGCACACAGTACTGTAGCACACATAGTACTGTAGCATACGTAGTACTGTAGAACACACAGTACTGCAGCACACGTAGTACTGTACACACGAAGTACTGAAGCACACGTAGTACTGTAGCACACGTAGTACTGCAGCATACGTAGTACTGTAGCACACACAGTACTGTAGCACACACAGTACTGTAGCACACGTAGTGCTGTACACACGTAGTACTGTAGCACACACAGTACTGTAGCACACGTAGTACTGTAGCACACGTAGTACTGCAGCACACGTAGTACTGCAGCACACGTAGTACTGTAGCACACGTAGTACTGTAGCATACGTAGTACTGTAGAACACACAGTACTGTAGCACACACAGTACTGCAGCACACATAGTGCTGTACACACGTAGTACTGTAGCACACACAGTACTGTAGCACACGTAGTGCTGTAGCACACGTACTACTGCAGCACAAGTAGTACTGTACACACATAGTACTGTAGCATACGTAGTACTGTAGCACACACAGTACTGCAGCACACGTAGGTCTGTACACATGTAGTAC